CCTACAAACGTTACGAGAGAGAAACCTCTTTCCCCAAACCTTCCCGTGCAGATTCCTGTTGACCTACCTCGTTTCCCCATCAGCCTTTACTGAAGCCACAGCCGTGACGGACGTTTGGCAGGATCTCACGCCATCAACCTGAACCGCCTTCGTGCCGGCGGGTGAACAGCATCTCTTGGCAGATGACAGGTCTCAAAGTTATTTCAACAACAGCCCTTCAAGGGCTTTGGCTCCGTTTGTTGTGGCGAATTGATACTCGATCCCTACGGTGCCAGAAATAGAAACGCTTTATCTGCTGCTAGAGTTTCCATCATCCCTTAACTCCCTTAGCAAACATCATTATCATCTCCAAGCAGAAGAGATCGCAGCACAGCCAGATCAGGTTCACACATTTACAGAAGCCTCTTGTTTTATTTCTATTAACGATGATGGTCTTTGCAAATTATCTTCCCCTCTGCACAGTACAGTGACAGAAGTCAAGCTGCAGAGGTTCCAGTATCAGCGTACATTCCCTGATGCGGATGAATTTTAGACTCACAGCAGGACAGGCAAAATAAACACGGGGGGAAAAGGGACTAATCAAACACACAGCTAGCTCTGCCACAGCTTTTAGTTGTGTATTTCACAGGGTTCTGTTGCTTACGTGAGCTAAGCAATTCTATTTTCTAAGCTATCAACAGCCCACACGTGACTGGAATGCCCTCCGTGGGGCCTGCAATTGTCCAAAGGAAGCTGGAGAGAGAGGTTTTCTCTGTTTTCTTCCTCCCCCGCCCCCCATCAACCACTGTTGACAGAGTGTACAATTTCTAAGAGTTGAAACTTTAACTTTTAAGCATACTACAACCCCCTGATTTTTTTCTGTAGGCACTCCAACCTCTCTCAACAGGGTGCGCGCTCTCTCACACTGAGTTCCCAAAAATGTGCAGCACACACAGTTGCCGAAAAGACGAGGAGCGTAGTTTCTATTTTTTCCATTCATTATTTTCCAATTTCCAAGCATAAGCAGCAAGGACATCCACTGGACCGGTAGCAGAATTCAGCCTCTAAACGCTGACCAGGTTTCAGATGAGCCAAGAGCCGAGGTGGCAGTAATCCAGCTTCTGCGGCCACTCGATGAGCATAACCACACGTGAGTGTGGCCTCAGCAACGCTCGTTAGCTCTCCGTGTGGCTTGTGTTTCTCAAAACATGGATACTTGCTTACTGAGATCCCCAAATAAGCAGCTGTTAGCACCCAGTAACTTCTGGTCCTTCCAAGTTAAGGCTCGGTTTAAAGTAGCGCCGTAGAGGATGTAACTCATATTCCATTACGGCACCGTCCGTCCAGAAGTCTCCCAGACCTTTCCTCGTGAGCTAAGCCAAGCAGCAGTTCTCGGTAATGAACACGACTAGGAAGAGGTCTCTGGTTTTGGAACAGCGGTAGTCATGCCTTTGCCATCCTGGAGGGAGCCTAACAGAGCTGAGACTACTAGTTATTTGGGATCATCGCTTTGCCTTGCACTACAGCTCAATTAAACGTGACTAGATAAATAAAAAGTAAGTTCTGCTTGACTGTCTGAGGCGGTACGTACATTATGGCCTTTTTTAGAAACACGCCACATTAAAATAACGCGGGCTGAGACGAGAGAGCTACCGCAGACTCAGAGTGACTATCCTGAAAGGTGCAGATGCACAGTAGAATCAATACCCCTCCAACCTCCTTTTTATTTAGGGTTTTTTTAGGGTTTGGGAGTTTAGGATGATGATCTCAAATCCATCTTAAGCTTCACAGATCTAGACAAATTGTCTTGACAAGCTCGTGATTTTCCTAGGGTTAGAGTCTAACTTTACAGTTGCAAAAGAGCATCTTGCGTGCACACGCAACTACTTTAGCAACAGCCCGGTGAAGTTTTACACTGACTATGGGCTAACATTCTCCTCTTCCTGTATTTTTAGAGACGAACAAAAATAAACACTAATTGTAATGATTCCGAATCACATAAATTCAAATTTGAAAGCAGAAGCGTTTATACGTGCTCCTCTCTCCCTGTTTTCAGTGGCTTGCAGGAAAGCTCTGGACAGTACCACAGTAGCAGCTCACGAATCTGAAATCTACTGCAAAACTTGCTACGGGAGAAAATATGGTCCCAAAGGTATCGGCTTCGGACAAGGGGCAGGATGTCTCAGCACTGATACTGGTGACCATCTGGGCTTGAATCTGCAACAGTGAGTTAAATCCCACTGAAAGCACCTTTATTCCAGTACTACTTGTCACTTAGTGGGGTATTTTAGGTATTTTATTCTGTTTCCATAACAACATCTAGCCTAAGTAGCAGAACAGACTTTCCTACAACCTTTCCTTCAGTGGACACAGCATTTTACCAGTTTTTAATGACATTCAGTCTCTTTAAGCCTTCTTTATAAATTATCTGCTCCTTCAACGGGCAATTATTCTGCAGAAGCAGCCTTTATATGCCAGCACATACGTAAACATATCCACTACAATTGTGATTTGCCATTAGTAGCACAGTAGTAAAGTCCCATTCACCATAGAATATGAGAATACATTTTTTTTTTCTTTCAGAGGCTAAAATACAGTTAGGTTTTACTGTTACAGAAATAATCACGCTACCACATACTGTTAACTCTCCTCTCCATGGGGGAAGATAACATTTCTAAATCCTCCCTGTGGCTCGAATAACACTCACAAACACACCGAGAATATGTTTGAACAAAGGAATTCTGATGGGATACCATCTTCCAAAAGCCTCAGCTGCACATAATTATCTCTGACAGTACATTTTTATAGTATTTTTCTACAATTCTCAAAGCTGCCCGTTTCCAAATCAACAATGCTTTCTTCTGGTATTACTATAAAGAAACCAATTAACCAATACACTGTGTAGGAAATAAAAGCTTAAATAATGTATTTAACTGTAGCTCCTTGTAAGATACAAAGCCATTAAGGGCAGAGTTCTGTATCAGAAACCACCACGTCCTGTAGATTTAATGACCTGTTGCAGTCCAACAATCCGATAATTCAAAAGTCACTCTGTGAAAGGCTTTATGCTAGCACAAAGACATAAAGCGCCGAGACCAGAAATACAAAGCAAAGCTACTTTTCTGATGTGCTTTTGACCCTAGGCCAGCCAAGAACCCCAGTTCCCTCTCCAAACGTTACCGTGACTACTGAAACCACTGCATGCAAAAATCAAAGGTTTTTTTTTCCCCCCACTGAGTACCAGCAGCCAGTTACAAAGCAGAGACAGGTCTTTTGCTAGTATTTCCCCTCTTGCCTCTCAATAAAACAAATTTCTGGTTTACTTTCATTTTTCATTAAATATCATCTTTTCTGCACATGGCTACTGTCAGCTCCATGTACTCAGCCCAATGCAGCAGTGACGGTATCAGCTCTTCAACCACACAACACTGAATTCAATAGAATACTTTTCATTTTCTCTTTTTCTCCCCACCTTTTGCATGCCCAAGACCAGTAATTTAGTAATTTTTCATCCCTTACCAAAAAGTCATGAAGTCATATTTCTAGAACGAAGATAGCATTTTAAGCAGTATTTAAAACCATTGAAACCTTGTGTTTTAGGGGGTCACCAAAGCCTGCTCGCCCTTCTACACCAACTAATCCTTCAAAGTTTGCCAAAATGATGGTAGATGTGGATAAATGTCCCCGTTGTGGCAAATCGGTGTACGCTGCAGAGAAGATCATGGGAGGAGGGAAAGTAAGTAGTTACTACAGCACTAGAAACACACCACTTATTGTAGTGGTGATAAGCTGTAGCTAATAGATCCTTGATCTTTCAAATTTTTACTCATAGTCTTGATGAAAAAAATACAGGGATGAATTAGTAAACTGCTAGCGAGTCTGATGTACTTTCGGGTGTAAAATCATGTGCTTTTTGCAAGCCGCCTTCAACTTTTTGCATCTTGTCGATGTCTGAAGAACAACTCCTGGCTATAGTAACAGCTGGCTTTTCTACCACTGTCATTCTACTCACATCTCTGGGGAGATTTATAATGTAAACATTTATTCGTAGTGGCAATTGCAGATAAATTGAAGAGATTATGCGACTTGAAAAACAAAAGCCTGCCTCGCGTGACATGCGAGAGCTCTCCTACAGCTCTCTGCTCTAGGAACTCTCTCTACAGTATTATCTCTGCACATCGAAGAAGTGGCCAAAATAAGAGCAATATCTATAGCTCTCTGCTTTTTACTAGACTTCTGTTAATAAGAAAGTCACTAGGTAAGATCTTGATGTGGGACAATAAAGTAATTGAAAAAAGACTAATCTAGAATGACTGAAAACCAAAGCCCTAAGACCAACAAAACAATTTAACCTTTTCACACCATAAAAAGCCATCAGTTCTTTCCTTCTTGTACCTGCTGGCTGTGCACTTTCTGTAATATACAATGACTTGTCTTCATTTCCTCAGCCTTGGCATAAGACATGCTTCCGCTGTGCTATTTGTGGAAAGAGTTTAGAATCAACAAACGTTACAGACAAAGATGGAGAGCTCTACTGTAAAGGTAAGAATTGTAATGACCTGAACTGGGTTACTGAGTCAATCTCAAACGACTCTTTTTAGACCCAGTAATGCCAACACGATTTACCTTGTTACATGCTTAACTCCATGAAATCTCCTCAGTGGAGTTGTGATAAATAACTATGTGCACATTTCCTCAGCCTTGGCATAAGACATGCTTCCGCTGTGCTATTTGTGGAAAGAGTTTAGAATCAACAAACGTTACAGACAAAGATGGAGAGCTCTACTGTAAAGGTAAGAATTGTAATGACCTGAACTGGGTTACTGAGTCAATCTCAAACGACTCTTTTTAGACCCAGTAATGCCAACACGATTTACCTTGTTACATGCTTAACAACTCCATGAAATTTCCTCAGTGGAGTTGTGATAAATAATTATGTGCACACTTGGCAAGACAGAGTTAAAATGGAATGATTCAAACTACCGTCAACAGTTTCTGGACTACGTTCTAGTTCTTTTAACCTCCTTTGAAAATCTCTTACTCAGTCGGTGTTACTGATACAGACCAAGTTTTACTGAGTATTTTGACAGGAAAGTAGCTTTAATGAAATGTTATGTAGATCTTAAATACATACAGTTTCTAATTTTTTGGTTTTTTTTTTAAGAATATCAGATGTGACTTTAGTTTAACTCAAGTATGTGATTCCAGTTTCACTATTAGAACCTGTCAACACTTCTGAGAAGGACGCTGTTTCAGATTTCCTTCCTTTTATTAAGTTTGGCAGTAGTACTAAAACCAAAAGTCACTTACCTCTATATGACAACATTCAGAATACCATTTACCTCCCTACTTCTTTTGCAGTTTGCTATGCAAAAAATTTCGGTCCCAAAGGAATTGGGTTCGGTGGCCTCACTCAAGTGGAAAAGAAAGAGTGCGAATGAGAAGAAACGGATGCAACAGACTCAACCCGCTGTTGATGCCAAGTGATGGTTGTCAAGTAAAACATTAAACATCACATATTGCTAAGAACCTAGGGCATTTGTTTAATCCTTGCAGGAAAAACTTGTAGTTTGTATCTTAAGCAATTGTTAGAATAGCTTAAAAAGGTACAGTGATAAAACAAGATTAATGTTTGTTTTACAGTAAATAAATAAAAAAAAACAACTTGTGGAACATTATTGCTTCTTTAACTAGTATTTACCACGCTTTAGACTGGAATTTTAAAGGCTCAGCATACTGTCCCATTAAGATAGAGACACCTTATGGCGCACAAGGGTCAGAGTGTTCCGATTTAGGCTGTACTGTCCTTTGTTCAGAATGTGATGCCGTCTACGTTTCTACCAATCTCCTAAGGGAGTTTTGAATGTTTTGACATTTTGTGTTATGGCAAAGTAGATGTTATTCACTTTGAGACAATTAAAAAATATTTGAAATTCTTTCTCTTAAAGGGAGATATTTCTGCGGAAAAACAACATTTTCATAGAATACAGTGTTGTAAGTTTTGTTATTGTATGTTTTCAAGCTACAATAAAGTACCGATATTGCTTCACTTTATTTTTACTTGAATTTTATTGTGCTTTATATTCTACAACGTCGCAGATAAACGCCTTTCACTGACACGTATGAAATCCCCCATTTCTTAACTACAAGAAATCTGTTTCATTACACTACTTTACTCTTATGTTGTCAGTTCCAGATGATATTTAACTTTCATTTTCTGATCTTGATCTGTTTCCCTGCTGGTTTTCATGATTACCTAATTTGACCTATATTCAAAACCACACTGCCCAGCTGGCCACTCCAGACAGACCTTGTACCCTTTTCTTGGGAACATGGCTGACAGCTGGGAATAACTCCCTCTTTTAATATCCATTGCTATTTTCCATCATCAACTTACCTATTTTCATACACTAACAGCATGTATATATATACACATGCAAAATAAGGCAAAGAGTCAGGTTTTTTCTTATAGTTTTGTGCTTACCTGTTCTTAAATACCTCACTGGTCACATATCCCTTGAATCTATTTCAGTCTGTAAAAATACACTTAGAAGCATGAAAGCTCTATTTTATTACACATAAACCCTCCAAATACAAAGACTTAACTGAGGTTTTAACAACATAAGCACTAAAATTACAGGGTAATTGTAATATTAAATTTTTAAAAATATGAACGTTCCCCTTAATTTTCAAAAGTAATTTTCTTTTATTATCTGCAAAGTAAAGCAAAGGGTACCAACATGGTTTTGAAATTCTGCCCTAAAAAAAACTTTACCTTTAAAAAAATATATTCTTAGTGTCATTTCATCACACAAAATTTCAAATCGTTTCAGCTCAAACTATATATACACAGACAGATAGAGATTGTTCCGTATACAAACCTGCTGTAGCTTATGCAAGATAGATTTAGTATTTGAAACAATAATACAACCAAGCAACTTCAGAAGAATTCGTAAAAATTACCAAAATAACCAGTTTTATTTAGCTTTCAGCTCAAGAATTTTAGAAATTAAGCAAAACTTCATACAGAATGCACATTTTTCTCCTTTGCCAGGTGGAAGAGGTTGTATTGCTTGGTCCAGTCAACTCCATTGGGTTTGAACATACCAAAGCAACTGCACTGAAAAAAGTCTGCAAGATTCTGGAAGCATCCAAGACTGAAAAGGAGGGAAATACCCATTAATAAACTAACAAAAGATGACTGCAAGCATCAAAAATACACATTAACCATGAGACAGTACTTAAGGCTGTCAATGATGACAGCTCTGGGAGAAGAAACATAAGAACAGTTCTTTATTGAGCATTACTCCTTTGTTGAACTTTTACAACCTGTATTACATTAAAGAGTGACAGCAGATTAAGTTCAACTCAAATATTTAACAGTTAGTAAGATCTCATCTGCTAACACACAGAAGGAAACATGGACTTCTAGTATAACAGGGAGATCTTGGTACTAATTTCTCCATTGAGCAAAATACTGCAAGGGAAGTCAGAAAGGGGCCAGCTCATACCTGAATTCTCTTCCTAAACCTACAGAACAGACACAGAGATTGACGAACAAATTAAGGGATAACACCCCCTCACCCCTAAAACAGCGTCTACTAATTAATGCTATGGACTGATTTTGCAACATCTTTTTCCTATATACAGAGCCCTGCAGAAAGAACCCCAGTAGCTCTTACGCTGGCTGTTTATTTCCTAGGGCAAAGGAAGTTCTCAGCAAGGAAAATGAGGTCCATTTCTTCTTCTTAGCACAACTCGTAACAGGCATGACTAGCACATCCACAGACTGCCACTTTTTTTGCATTTATGAAGCAGTGAAGCAAATCAGTACCGAAAAGAGACGTGCTTAAAACACACTCTTCATTAATACTCACTTGTATGGAGTTCTCCTGAGCGAAACAGGATGCTTAGATGATTTTCTCTGCATCAGGAGGTTCATTCTTTCATGAGAGGTTAATCCTAAGAATGCAATCTTAGAGAAAGGAAAATGTAAGTAATGGTTAAAACATGAACATCACAAATTAAATTCTGGTGATAACAAAAGATACTATTAAGAAGGGAGGGAGGGAGGAGGGAGGGGAACAGGTTAGCCATATCCAACAAATAAGTAACTACTGCCATAATTAATGACTGTGAAGTATGTTTTTAAATGTCATTTGGACTAAAACAGAGCACAGCAAGCTGTAACTAATGCTTCCACTGAGAAGGCAAGCTTAATTGGGATGACTGTAAAGACTGTACTTTTACAGATGTCTGTAGAAGATCTATAGCAGGTAAACACTTATCTCCTCAGATTTTGTCCATATTCTACCACACAAATTGGTAGGAAAAGATCCCCCGAAAAAGACAAAGTAGCTTACAAAAAAGATGAAGTAGATGTCAGAGACTCAACAATAACTTCTTCATTTTCTTGATTCCATGTCTTCTTTCACTCAGTTTCATAATGAGATTTATGGTTTTTTCTGTATTTTTTGCTTACCTATTCCTTTTTCCATTTTCTTATTTTTTTTAATTAACAAAAATCTGATAAGCCCTTACAAATGGCTGCAAGGTTCCTTCGCCAAATGACATGTTAAATGTCATAAAGTGGTACATGACTGTGTACGCTAGTTAACTGTAAATATTCTACCTAGGTCCCTTTTTTCCCAGGATGATATCTCAGTGCCTTGGACATAACAGAAATGTAGCAGCAAACATTTAAAATTGTGGATTTGGGGGTTTTTTTAAGCAAGATTTAGTTCAGTATGTTAACACATATTCAAATGACACATCTTTCCTAAAAGCTGCTAAACAACCTGTCTTCTAGATGTTTTTAGACAGCTCTTCTCAATCTTGTTTGCATAACCAAGCTCTGAGAAAAATGTAAACAAGAAATTTGACAGTTCTCATCCAGATAAAATCCAGGTCATGTATTTTTATTGTAGCAATGGGATTTAGTATAGTCTAATGATGCACTGCTGAGCTCTACCACATAATTTTCAATTCAGGACTAATTGTGGTATTGAGCTTTTGTGCCATTTTGGGGACAATAACACCAGTTCTATTACTCAAATAAGTTTCTTGGCTTTAAATACATTTTTTTATAGGTTTGGAATTTTTTTTATGAGTAGTAAACCCAGAACTCAGTTAGAGGAATGATTTGCAGACTGTGATCCAGCTTTTAACACGGGAATGTTGAGTGCACAAGTACCCGTGAAACTTAAAGGACTGCCCTGAAATTTAAGAAAAAAGATGTGACATTACTTCAAGAAGGAAAGCAGACAAAGTTTTTATGGGAGCAAATAAACTAGGGAAAAGTTTTAATACAATTACTCTTTAAGAGAGGAGCATAAACTGAAGGAAAATACCTGATAAAGCTGAACCATTAGCCACAATGAAGCCCACATAGTATGAAAACAGGTTACAGCAAAGATGTAGGAAACCCATGGAGAACAATATGTTATCTGCATGAAGTACGTCCATGCTCCATCTTGGTAATAACTTGTTGCGCAATGGTTTGACCAATCTGACAAGACACATAATCAGTTAATTTTTAGGCCACTTAAGAACTGAGTAAAGATTATTTGCAGGGAATGAATATTATAAGCAATATGCTCTAGAAATACCCAGTTTAATATATCACGTTCCCACTTAAAAGCACCCACATAGGTATGTGACTGCTTGCTATTCTGGCTGCATAATCTTTTACATTATCTGCTCACAATCCGCAAAAGGAACATTCAAGGCACTGGCTATGTACTTTTATATGATATTGAAACAAGTCATCATCCCTCGTTGTCAAGACTTCTAAAATTTTGCTTCAAGCTTACTTGTAATTTTAGGACAAGAATTTATCTTAAACACCATCACCAACAAAGGAAGACATGATGGTGAGCATGTCAAGAAAGCAGTATTTTACCACTACTAAGTAGACGTAAATTGCCATGTCCAACTTCTGTAAATTTCTTAAGAGATACTTAAAGCCTACCACATATGTATTTAACCTATGAAAAAAACCCCAAACAAACTAAAAGCAGAGCAACTTTTTTTTGTGTCTACGTCAGTAGAACAATAAAGAGGTTTTCGTCCTATGTTCCTTCACACACAGGAAATGGAGAAAATAATATACTTTTTGCATACATAAGATCCCCGCTGAAACACAGGAAAGCAGCTCATGTCCAGACCCTGTGTCCTCCACTGCCATAGTCAGCTCACTTTACTCTGTGTTAGATATTGACTCATTTCAATATAATGTGAAATAATTGAAAATAAAACAAACTCCTCCTACTTTTATTTAGAAGGTTAGTGCTATGCTAATTCACCCTCATGAACTACATCATAAGAGCTCTCCTCCAATAAATTTCTTAATTTTCCAAAGTAATGGTTTGGGTTTATTAATGAGATATAGAGTTCTCTTCAAAGTTATCGCTACATTAAAAACAAAAAGAAACTTTTGCAAGTGTTAAATATAGATAATTCCAAATAACAAAATCAATAAAGCCTTTGCAATAATGTATTTAGACTTATTTTCTATAACAGCACAGGGTATCCAGACTAGAACCTGTA